CCCCCCTTACGAGAATCGCTCAATTAGAGTCCCTCGTAAAGCAATTACGAATGGCCCCTCGCTAGCGCAAATGCGTCCTTCCTGATCCCGATAAGTTCAACGGTACGGTTCAGCGGTGGGATACCTGGCTCCCCTTAATCAAGGCCAAGCTTCTCGTCGACGGTGAGGCTCTTGGCGGACCTACTGCGCAGTTCTACTACGTTTACTTCAATATGGAACCCGGTCCTCAAGCAATGGTTTTGACTCAATTGGCCTCAGCTCAAGACTCCGGCAATTGGGACTACAATACTCTTTTGGATCAGCTCGCTCTCGCTTACGACAATCCAAACAAAATTCAAGAAGCTGAGGATAAGCTGCTTGCTTGCAAGCAAGGTACGGACGCCTTCCATATCTACGTCTTACGCTTCGAACGACTTTTGTACGCTGCTCGCTGTCAGACTTGGCCCGACGCTAATAAGATTATTGCGTTCCGCAATGGTCTGAACTCAATTATTCGGACCCGTTTGAATGGCCAATTGACTCTCCTAATCACGTATACCGAATACGTGCACGTCACTCAGCAGCTTGGACGCTCTTCCGGCTCTTCCGGCCCTTCCGGCCCGTCCTACGGATTTTCTCGACCTTCGGCACCTTCGGCCCTTTTTCAAAACCGCCCTCGCACGTTAACGGGCCCTCCCCCCGGCGACCCAATGGACCTTTCAGCAGTCGAACGCGCTTAACAACTCGAGCAATTGCAGCACGCCAACGAGCTCGGCGCTATAGAGCTTATCGACGCTCACGAGGCTGACCAAACTCAGCTGTTGGAAGAACGATACCCCACTTTCCAGCATGCTCCTCACAGCACTCTTGATCAGCGCGAAGCTTAGCGCAAATCAAATCGCTGTACCCGTTGCGGTGCAATCGACCACTAAATAGCTGGCTGTACCCTCCTTCCAGCTAAGCCCTTGACAAAGAAGCGAGTTCTTTGGGACCCTTTTTCGGACCGACTTGTCAAGGAAAATGAGGGTTTAAGCGAGTTTGACTCGGACGAGAGGGAGGAAATTTTGGCGGAATGGAACGCTTCTAGAGGCTACGACGCTGACCTTGACGATTATCGCGATCTGTAGCCTCGGCGTATTTTTTTTTTTGGTTTTTTTTTAGCAATTCCACCCGTGAACCATGGTTCACGACTGAATTTTTTTATTTTTTCCTTCCTTTGTCAAGTACTTTTTAAGAGAGCTAGGACCGCTCTCTAAAGGGGTAGTGTGACAGCCTGCCTTGTTACCTGCAGTCAGCTGATCACCCGTCCAGGCCTAGCGCCTGCAGCCATGTATATAGACCTTCCTGAGCTCCCCGAGCTTCCTGTTTCCTCTCCTCACTTTGTATTCTAAGGTCAGAATTCATCAGTTCGTCACAGAATAAAGCATTCGTATTCTTCGTTTAAATCGAAGTCAGCCTTTAAAGTGTTATGCTAAGAGCAAGTATAGTCGTGTAGCTCGCTAAAGCTCGCGTAAGCTCTAGCTTTAACGAAAGGTCGAGAAGTCTTAGTTGCAAAAGCAATTGCTCGACGAATATTAATAACTACCGCGGTAAAAGTAAAAGCAAGATTCATTCGTATAATCGTAATCTTTAATACGTTTTTACAAGCTAAATACAGCTTGTTAGCAAGACTTCGATCGTTTTTTAAACCTGGTCGTAAAAAGCTTTAAATGCTTTTAAGCTCTTTAGCGAGCTTTTTAAAGCACTCGCTAAGCGAAGTCCTTAAATTCTCTTTCTTAATTAAATCTAGCGAAATTTCTTTTTAACGGTCGTATTTTACTTGCCGCCGATAGTTAGTTTCGAAGTAGTCTTTTATTGCAATAGCGTTTGCTTTAAATATCGAAAGCCTAGCTTTAATAACGTAATTATAATAAAATGTAATAGCTTCTTTCGTAAGCATAATAAAGAACGCCGCTAAGTAATCGTCGAAAGTCAAACCGTATCGATTTGCTTAATTAATAAAAATCTTTAATTAAGTTCTAAAGTCATCGTCGAGTTTCGAATACTTTAGCTTTTTAAAAAAGCTTCTTACAAACAAAGCTAACTCTTTTGCTTTTAAATAAAGGTCCGTTGCTTTAAGCTTAAAGAAGTCGTCTTTATTATCGTTAAAAGCGCTTAAAATGCCGTACGCAAGCGTGTTGTGCTTAGCTAATAATCGGATCGGTAAAAGGTTATCGATATAGTTGCCGGTAGTCCGTCCTTTTTTAAGATCTTTAAAAAGCTTATTTTCGAATCCGAAGTCTTTCGAAGGTCCGTTTCCGAATCCTTTTAATAGTTTAAAAAGACCGTTCTTACTTTTTTCGTATCCGTGCTCTCGATCTCTTTGCTAATCTCTTTCGTTTTTTCTTCGTCGGTCATCGCTAAAATCGCTAAAGTCATTCGAGTCATCGGCTAATGCTTTAGCTTAATAATATCCGTATCTTTAAGCTTGCTTTTAGCGATTCTTATACTTTTAGCTTTTCTTTTGCTAATACGTAGCCTTTTAAAAGATATAAGTAGCTTGTCGGTACGTCCGAAAGTGCTAGATCTTTTCTTCGAGTTGCTAAATTCCTTTTTCGAGCTGCTAAAGTTAAGCACGGAAATCTGCACGCTATCTTTAATAAAAGCTGATTTTATCCGGAATGCTCTTAGGTTTTAGCGGGTCCTCTTTTAACGTGTAATTGCTATTGCTTCGCGTATTATTAAGCTCGATTATATTTTCGAAGCCGTTATTATTATTATTCGGTCTTGGTTTTTAAGAAACCCGGTTGTAGCTCTTAAAAAAAAGGTTTAAAGGCCGTTAAAGTGATTTTAGCTCTTATATAATTAGCGTATTGCGTAGCGATTAATAAATTAAAAGCGTTAAGTACGCTAAAGTGCTTCGTCGTAGCCTTTCGTTAAATTGTATAGCGTATATCCGTAATTCCGCTATTTGCTTTGCTATCACTTTTATATTTTGCTTTATATTCTTCTTCTCTTTCGCAAATTCCTCGCGTAACTTTCGAATCTCTTCTTTTTCTTCTTTTTCTTTCTTTTTTAGATTTCGTAAAAGTAATAGAAGTGGTTAAGGCGTATTATTTTCGTCGTCCGTAAAGTTTTCGGCGGTCTACCTTGAATCGAGGCTTAAAAGTATTGCTTATTGCTCTTTTATTTCTTGAAAGGTCTATTAGTGCTGCTGCTCGTCGTTTAAGAGCTTGATCATCTTATTAGCGTAACCCTTTTACTTTAAAAGGCATTATACGCTTTTAAATAACAAATGTTCTTTAAAGCTAATAAGAATAGCAAACTTAAAGCCTCGTCCTGTATTGTCTTTCGTCATCGTAAAACTCGTCTAATCTTAGCGTAAGAAAGCGTGCCGGAATAAGCTTTATAAGTCGTAATCTTTTAGCTTTCTACACTTCGCGTTTAAAAAGTCTTTTATTATCGCTCGAGCCGTGATCTTATTGTTTAGCCTTGCGTATAATAGCTCGTTTAAGTTAAATAAGATGCTTGATATCTCGTCATCTAGCCCTTTCGAAAGGCTTAAGAGTCTTAAGTATAAGGTTTGTTTTAGCTGAATAGCTAAGGGTTCCGTAAGTAGTAATAAGACTCGAAAAGTATAATATCTTATTGCTTTTTATCGGCTAGACTCTTTACTCGGAGGTCTAGTTGCTCGATCGGCTATAATTGCTGTCTGCTCGTACGTAAATCGATCTTATTAATTAAGTTTGCTATATATAGCAAGCGCGGCTCTTATAGCGTTAAAAGTTGTTGTTTTTAAAAGTGACTTAGTTCGGAATCACTTTTCTGTAAGAATAAAGAAAAATCGATAATATAAGCAAGCGACTTAATACGGAATCGCTCTTTCGTTATAAAGGAAAAGTATCGTAATAAAAAGTATCCTCGTTATAAAGTCTTAGCTTTTCTATGATTAATTACTTAATAGTAAATCAACTACTGATTAGTGTTAGATTGCTTTCAAGCGATTAAGAATATATATTCGTAAAGTCGTAACGGTCGTTAAAGTATTTGCAATTGCAAAACACTCGATTAATAAAGTATTTAAATTCTATCTGCTCTTTAAGATTCAAGAGAGCTGATTCCTTCTATAAGACTAAAAGGAATCACGTGTACTAGCTAATTAATAGGTCTACTTGTTAAGTTAAGGGTCCCTTGGCTGCTGATATGCTAAGCGAGGCATGCCAAGTGGCCCGTGAACCATGGTTCACGGGTGAGCTTCTCCAACTACTACTACTACTACTATTACTAGCTAGCTAAGGTCGATATGGAGATACCGACAAATGCTCTTATAAAGACCGAGCAATAACAAAATACTTAAGCAATTAATTAATTGCAAAACTATTATCTTACCTTCTTTTTTATTACTATTATATTACGATTTAAAGCAATAGACAAGATATCGAACTTAAAGATGCCGAAGTTCGATCGTTGTAAGGACTACGATAAAAAGATGCCGGCTGAGCTATAGCTAGATAAGCTAGACTACGATTTCGAAGTCGATAGCTTCGATAACCTTTCCTTTTTAATATACTTTAAAGCAATCTTAATCTTGTTAATAAAAGAAGCTAGCAGAAAGTTTAGATTTAATATAAGAATGAGATATATTATAACTAACCGCATTATAGCAACAAAAAAAGAGAAGGCCGAAGTAATAGAATAATTAAAAACGCAATTTCTTAATAATAAAGAACTAATAGAAAAGCAAAACGTGATCGCCGAAGTCTTTAATTTATAATAAAGATTATAAAAAAGTCTCGCATCTTATTATTTACGAACGGTCGCGCTATTAAAAAAGACTAAAAGAAGAGATCTGAAAAAAAACGAAGCATTATTAATAATAACGAATTAATTTGATTCGGACAAGTATATTGTTGGATTGCTTCCAAGCGATTGGGAATATATTCGTAAGGTCGTAACGGTCGTCAAAGTACTTGCAATTGCAAAACACTCGATTGATAAAGTATCTGAATTCTAACTGCTCCCCAAGATTCAAGGGAGCTGATTCCTTCTATAGGACTAGAAGGAATCACGTGCACTAGCTAACTAATAAGTCTACTTGTCAAGTTGGGGGTCCTTTGACTGCTGATATGCTAAGCGAAGCATGCCAAGTGGCCCGTAAACCATAGTTCACGAGTGAGCTTCCCCAACTACTATTACTATTACTACTAGCTAGCTAAGGTCGATATAAAGATACCGACACCGGCAACTCTTTCTTTAGCAAGCAGTGCCTTGCCAATTACTATATCGACCGAAAAAGAAGGAAGGTAATCAAACAAAGGAAAATCAATTTTATTTTATTAAACTTCACTTTCCCTTCTCTTATAGCGGCCTTTCTACCCATCCGTCTACCTGCACCTTTAAGGTATTGGTCAAAACTAGCTTTTGCAAAGAGGTATTAGCCCCGATTTTAGTTATAGCGTCAGCAAGGTTGGATTTTCTTCCGATCTAGCGTACTTTAAAGAGCTCCTTCTTCTCGTATAACTTTCGAATAGCTATAATATCGATCATAAAGCGCTTCTCTTTAGTAATCTCTAGCTTTATTATACACTCGTAAAGCGAATAAGAGTCAGTGCACACAACTACGAGGAAATTAAGGATCTTTAATTAAGCTATGATTTAAGCAAAGGTAATCGATATCGCAATAGCTATATCGATACTTAAAGATATAGCGTATAACTTAAAAGCTAATATTGCTCTTATCATTCTCTTGCACTTTTATGAC